GGGTGCCCTTATTGTTAGTGGTCTACCGGAGAACCTAGCTGATATAGGGGCTTTAGTTACCTAAACTATTTTGGGGGTTCCTTGTGGTAATTTGTGGAAAAGTAAACCCCAAAACCCTATTCTAATTATTAAGGCCCCTACATTCTATGGGTGCCTCTGAAGGGAAACACAAGGGCTCCTTTAAGGGAGCTATAAGGGTTCAGGGGTTCCTTTAAGATTTTCTTTTAAGGGATCCTATAATAAGGGTTTCGGGTTTTAGGGATTAGGGTTTAGGGGTTCTTTGAAACGAAAGTGATCTATATGGGTTCTTCTATAAGTATATCCCTAAACCCTCAACCCTAAACCCTAAACCATGAGGGCTTGAGGGGTAGGGTTTAGGGTTTTCGGGTTACGAGGCCCCTTCAAAGGGAACTTGAAGGGCTCCTTTGGCTCCTCTCAAGGGATCCTGTAAGGGATCCTGCAAGGGATCTCTGAGAGATCTGTAAGAGTTTAGGGTTTAGGGTTTAGGCGATCAGGGTTTAGGGAGTAGTGCTTCAGGGTCTGGGAGTTAGGCTTTAGGGGTTTGGGTTTAGGGTTTAAGGGTTTGGGTTTACGGTTTAGGATCTAGGGTTTAATAGAGTTTGGTGTTCATTTTCATGCGCTTTACGACTAGTCAACTGTAACAAAGCAATGAAGCGTAGAGACGTGTTTTCACGGTTTGGGGATTGCTTGGTCGCACTTTAGTAGCTGTCTTGGGGTCTAGACCCTCGGCTTCATGATTTCGGCATCTGAAAGAGTTTAGGGTGTAGGGGTTTAGGGTTTACGGCTTTGAAGTAGGAGGCTTTCATAGGTGATTTATAGGTGTTGATTGTTATCGGGTGTAGTAGGGTTGACGGGCTCAGAGGGGGTAAAACCCGGCGTTGCAAGGTACAACAACCTCCGCCGTATTGCTGCAGAGCAGCAGCCTCCTGGCTTCTGCAGGCCGAGAGAGAGGGTGGGCGACAGGGGGGTTGAGGGTTTAGGGTATATGGGGTTTAGTTAGGGTTTATGGTTTAGGGTTTAGGGTTTAATGTTTAGGGTTTCAAGGCTCAGGGTTTACGGTTTAGGGAGAAGGTTATCAGGGCAGACAAGCTTTTGACTAGAGGTTTTTACAGCTTCGTAGTGGCGTTCACAAGTGCTTCTGTGTTAACTTGAAGTGTTTAGGATGTGGTCGTAGGATTTGTTGGCTCAGGGCTCAGGGTCTGTGCTGTGATAAGTTTTCAGCTTGGGCTTTGGCACTTGTGAGCTCATGAGGTTGAGGATTTGGGATTGGGTGCTAGTATGTACGCAGAGCTCCGCAAACCTTCAATTCTGTAGTCCTTGAGTTCCTGACTCTGCGGAAGGCAGCTTCGTGTGCTCCTGAAGCGCAGCTTCATTCAGTGGTGGCGGGGCAGCTGGCAAAGAGTGGCCCGGTTGGCAAGTATCCCAACCCCAAACCCAAAGCCCTAAGCCTTGAAACATAGTGAACCCTTGCATCCAGCGTGGATAGTCGAACCAGTTTAACCAAGATCATCTAGTCACTGTCATTGATGTCATGCCGTCAGATCGGACTCGGTGCATGCCGGTAAGGCCCAAAACCCTGAACTTCAAACGCTAAGGAACCCTAACCCCTAAACCTCAAACCCTAAGCCCTAAACCTTAAACCCCCAAACCTTAGACCCTAAATCCTGAGCCGTGAGGCTATTTTCCTCGGAGTCATCACGGGCTCTTACTCCAAACGGCAACGAACCCTAACCCCTAAACCTGAAGCCCTAAATCCTGAGCCGTAAGGCTATTTTCCTCGGACCCTAACCCCTAAACCTGAAGCCCTAACTCCTGAGCCGTAAGGCTATATTCCTCGGGGTCATCACGGGCTCATCCGCGATCATGGCCACCATGGATGCCTTCGTCGTCAAGGAAGCCGAGTGGCAGGCCTGGGCTCAATGTAAACATCACCCCTCAGGATTCCGGTAGTGACTACATTACTATTGTATTATATATATATATATATGTACATATGTATATATATATATATGTATATATATATATATATGTACATATATGTATATATATATGTATATATATATATGTATATATATATATATGTATGTTTCTACTATATTGCTATATTGCTATATTGCGATAGTACTGTATTACTATATTATAGTCTGTCTCACCCCAAAGCCCTATTCTAATGATTGAGTTCATATTACGCCGTGACATTCTTAATTCAGCCTCGCTCTGAGGAAGAGTTGGTCGGAGCAGCTAGCGACAGCATCCCCATATAATACCACTGTACCTATAGTCTCCACTGTAGTTCCTTTTTGGGGTTACCCTTTCCGATCCTTAATAGAAAATTGGTTAAACCAAAAAAAGGAACTACAAAGGATACTATAAGTAACGCTACTGTAATATACCGTGCAGGCCCCATTATAGTTGTTTCAGTGAGGTTTAAGCCTTATAACCTACTTGCTTTCTGCGCTAGCTCCGCTCACATGCTTGATCTTCATGATGGTAGTCGCAGCAGTGACAACAGCAACACACAGCAGCAGATAACACGGTCAACACAGTCAAAACTTGGCGTTCTTCTGGTT